ATGATGATGATGATGATACTAATAATTCTAGTGATGATGCTGCTGCTGATGATGATGATGATGGTGGCGATGATGATGATGCTGCAGCTGCTGATGATAATGAGGATGAGAAGGAGGAGGAGGAGGAAGAGGAGGAGGAGCAGGAGAAGGAGCAGGAGGAGGAGGAGGAGGAGGAGTACGCTGGCCAAAAGAGAGGGGCGAGAAGAGGGCAGGCGGACAAGAAGCGAGAAGAGGGCAAGACGTCGTCGTCGCGGCCGCGTGCGGCGGCGCCTGCGGGGCCGAGCCAATCAGCGCGGACAGGTCTGCCCACTGCCTGCAGACCTGCTGAAATATGGCCCCTGCCGCGGCGACGGGCGACGCAGGGCGCAGGCGACAGATATGATGGCAATGGGAGCAGGCATCAATATACAACAAGATAGACAACAGAGCACGTTTGCCAAGAGGAAAACAATCTATAAAACTGAATTCAGGTGGCACCAGGGGCAAGGCTAAGACTACCACCAAAGTGGGTGAAGCAGAGAAGGGGCGAGAGGCCAGAGAGCTGATTACCTCGCGCTCCAGGGCGCGGAAACACTCGTGCGACCCGCGAACCTCATGAATACATACAACATCAAGGTACTGAGTCATATTGATAAGCTGCCTGATCTTTGCGCGGCGGGTGAGCTGCGGGGCGCACGGTGCGCCGAAGAGCGAACGAGCATTCCAAGACGCAACTGAAACATGCTTGCACGGCAAGAAAAGGCTGCCTCGCAACAGCAACGCAGGCCAGTCTACCGTGAACGACGAAGTAGAGCAGGAGGATGAGGACGAAGAACTCGCCGAAGGTGCCAAGCGTGCAGACGACCCGCCAGGACTGGAAGACCCAGACGCGCTGGGCGACGAGGATGAGGCTCTTGCTCTCTTCTCTGAAGTGGCTATTCCGCATGTAGACCAAATTCTCTTCGTAGGTGGCGGTGTGGCGTGTTGCTGGTCGTCGCTGTCTGCCGCTTGCACAGGTGTGGAACGTGCACCGCAAGCGCCCACGCAGAACGGGACACCCAAACCAGTCAAATCACAATCCACAGGAGAGGCGGGGAACCCCTGTGGCATATCATGCAAGTCGACCTTCATGCACTGCTGGCTTGGCAGAGCGGACTCCTAGATCAGGATGCTCTCAACCGTGCTGTTGATAGTGGCATCAGTGAAGCCGATCTTCTTCAATGCCACGACGTTGGGAATGACATCCAATTGCATCGACTCTACGCCTTTCACCTGGAAGAGGTTCTCCGTGTCTTCATTCGAGATCAGCCATAGCGTGCCACGAAATCCTTGCGAGCCTAGCGTAAAGGATGGACTCCACTTGTTAAAGGCCTTGGCTGTCTCCACAACCTTGGACCAGAGGGCGCCGAGGATGCGGTTGACTTTGCGGATGGCTGGCGGTGCGTCCACGCGGATCTTCAATTCACAGTCAGTATTGGTGCGAGGGTCGCGCCACTTCACACCCATGGTCCGAGCGCGCATCAAGAAATCCTTGGCCGCCTCATTCGAATCAAAGATGATGCTGTAGGCCGTCTGGAAGTTGTGGGACTTGGGCATTGCCGTGATGCCGTTGGGGACGTGCTTTTGGATGAGCTGTGTAGCATGGACACTCATGACCTTGGCTAGCAGCGGTCTCGGGAAGCCCGCGATCCAGATCTTGCGGTTGTCCCTCTCCTTCTCGGGCTCTTGTGATGCGGCCGATGCACTTAACCTGGTCGATGGAGTACGCGATGACAGCGCAGCAAGCTCGGCCTGCATCTTGAGATTATGGGCTTTCATGTCCTTCAGTTGATTGTCAACAGCTTCAGTCATGACGGTGGCAGCAGCGGATTGTGCTGCCTCCGTGCTTGTATTAGTTCGATCCTCGATCGCCTTCATCCGTGCAGTCAGACCGTCGATCCTGATCTCGTGTTCATGAATGTTTCTCTTCACCTCTGTGACGTCATCCTTTGTGGCCATGTTCGTGCGAATGTCGCCCAGCATCTCGCATATCAAGTCGGCATTGCCAGTACGCCCATGCTTCGGGACCAAGCAATCTTCCTCTGCCACTGGCGTTGGGCACACCATCTCATCATCAGAAGCCATCGCGGTGGTGCGGCTGCACTGATTCAGAAGGTGCCTAAACGGAGCTGTCCTGCGGGCGGCCGATGACCTGGCCTCGGGAGCAGGAAACAAGGCAGCTCGAGGGCAAATGCCTCTGAGGACCACTTTGGCCCTCAGTCTGGAATCTCGCTACACCGTAGCTTGAGCCAAAATGGCTACGGAAGAGGAGGAGGAGGAGGAGGAGGAGGAGGAGGAGGAGGAGGAGGAGGAGGAGGAGAAGGAGTAGGAGGAAAAGCAGGAGGGGGAGGAGGAGAGAGCGCCACCTCCCAGCTGCGCCGCGCTGGAGGCCGCCCGCCGCGGTGCTGGCCGCCCGCTCACGGCGCGCGAGGAGCCCCACGGGCCTGCGCGGGCCGCCGAGTGAGGCGCCAGCAGTCGCCGGCCTGCCGCCCGAGGCGCCCGCTGCGCCGCGGCGCTCGGCCGCGGCGGCCAGGGCGTGGGCAGCCTCCTCCTCCTCCCTCCTCCCTCCTCCTCCTCCTCCTGCTCCTCCTCCTTCTCCTCCTTCCTCCTCCCTCCCTCCCTCCTCCCTCCCTCCCTCCCTCCCTCCCTCCCTCCCTCCCTCCTCCTCTCCTCCTCCTCCTCCTCTCCTCCTCCTCCTCCTCCTCCTCGTCCTCCTCTCTCCTCGTCCTCCTCGTCCTCCTCGTCCTCCTCGTCGTCGTCCCCCTCGTCGTCCCCTCCTTTTGCTCCCCCTCCTCTCCCCCTCCTCCTCCTCGTCCCCCTCCTTTTGCTCCCCCTCCCCCTCCTTTTGCTCCTTCCCCTCGTCCCCCTCCCTTCTATAGAGGGCAGCAAATCCACCCACATAAGAACCACCCCGACAAGCGAGGCCGTTTGGTAAACGCACCCAAGGAAGGAAGCGAACAAGGCAGGGCTTTTAGTAGACGCCCAAGGCCGTGTAGTGAACGCCAATTGTCCGGTCCGGGTGGTTTTTCCTTCCTTGATTCTGCCTCCTACTGTAGGGGCCAACCACAGGAACCCTTGCACAAGACACCCAACCCTGAGACCCCAGGACGTCCACTGGTTTTTGGTTTTGGGAGCGTCACGCTCTCCAGGGCAAAGCCACCGGTGCCCAAGACCTGGAGGCGAGCAGGGCGTGTCTTGGCATGGGTCTCCACTGTACTTCCTCCCCCTTCCCCCCTTGGGACGCACGAGGACCTACCAGTACGTGTGTCCTCCTCGGAGGCGCGCGTCCGGCCCGAATGCATGCAGCATACCCCTCTTGCAGCACATCGCTCCCCGAGCGGCGTGGCCAGAGGCCAGAGCGCGCCCGCCAAGGTCGCACGTACTGTGAGATCTGTCGGTGCCCGCGTCGCCCCCGGTGGAGGCGACGTACACACATAGCATGAATATAGTCGGCAGTGGTTGGACAGGACACGCGAGAGGACACAAGACACTTCCGAGGGCCACACCGCCATAGGAGTGTAAGAAGGCACGTGTCGCGAGGCACAGGACACAAGGGTACCCTTGAGCTGGCAGGGTCGACCTACTAATCTGGGCCGACTGTAGCATTCATCTGTTGGGGTGACGCCGACCTCCCACTTCCCCTCCGCTTCTTTCATCTGGAGGTCAGAACAGGGGGCGTGGCATAGAGGGGCGTGGTGCCAGTCGTGGAAATGGCGATGTTATCTACAATGGATAGCCTCGCCAGATCCAGCAGTGGCACCGCACCCCTTTACACCACACCCCTTTCCCACCTCCAGATTTAGGTCGGGCGTGTCCCCCTACAGGGGGATTTTGGGCGAAAAATTCGCTGGCCCAACGCGCCAGCGGCGTGCGAAGATCTCCGGAAACAAGTTCACAGTATAACAAGTTCGCGCGCGCGAGGCGGCCCCTGGGGGCCCCGACGCGACAAATACCCCGCCAAAGTCCCGGCAAGTCCCCGGCAAGGCCCTGGCAAGTGCCCGCCACAGATGCTGGAGGCTCCCCAGACGGCCCAAGAGGCGCCCAAGACGGCCTCAAGAGAGCGCCCAGACGGTCCAAGAGCCCTTGGAGTCCTCGAGCGATCGGCCCACGATGCCCAAGATGGTCTCCAGACGGCCCTAGACGTTGCCCAGGAGCTCCAAGAGAGCCTCAAGAGGCCCTCCCAGAGGGCCCTAACAAGCAAACATCGTCCCATTTCCTTCGGGAGACGTGCATTTCTGGCATAGACGACGTTCGGAGGTTCACAGCGTCCAAGACTGCCCAAGAGCCACCCAAGATCGCCCACCATGACCCCAAGATGCGCCCAAGAGGGCTCCAAGACGGCCCAAGAGGGCCCCACGACGGCCCAAGATTGCCCCAAGACAGCCCAAGAGGCGCCCGAGACGGCCCAAGAGAGCCCCCAAACGGCCCCAAGAGGGGCCCAAGAAGGGGACCAGGAACCGAAAAGTCCAGCCTTCAGCCCCAAGAGGCCCCCAGGAGGCCCCAAGAGGCCCCCAAGAGGCCCACAAGAGGCCCCAAGTGCCAAGGGGCCCCCAAGAGGCACCCCAAGAAGCCCCAAAAGGCCCCCAAGAGGCCCCACGAGGCCCCAACACGGCCCCCCAAAGGCCTCAAAACTACCTCCCAACCAACATCCGTGATGCCTCTGACCCGCCAGACACCGCCTCCGAAAAATGGCAGCCGCCTAGCCACAGCGCATCGACAACAACACCCCGACAAACGACAGCGACGAGGCAACATGGGCCGGCGGAATGGGCGAAGCGATGAAATAAGAAATGCCCCCCAAATGTCCGAAACATATTCACGAATAGCCAGAACCATCGTCCCCAGACTTTTATTGTTTTGACTATTTCTGAATCTCCCTCCTGTGGAGGGGCAGGCCCGACTTGAAGCCCAACTTTCAGGGCGGTGGCAGGCGAGCGAAGCCGGGGGGGGGGCGGCAGGTGCAGGCGCTGCAAGGGCGGGGCCTTTGACAAAGGTGTCGGAGCTCATGCCCTCGAACGCGCTCACGTCGAGGGTGGATTTCGGGAACTGGCAGGCGCTTTTGACATACCGCCAGCACGTTCGCTCTCAGCACACTCCGCAACGAACAGTCGCATGCCTGAAGAGATCAGAGCAGGCTGGTTGCCTGCAGGAGAGGGAAGAAGGCCAGGGCTGAACCTAAACGGTGTTTTTCGTTTTCGTTTTGTTGTCGTTTTCCCTCGTTTTGTCTTCAATGCGCCTTTAACGCAAAACGAGATCGAAACGAACACGGCCCACGAAAACGCCAAAACACCGTTTAGGTCCACCCCTGAAAAAGGCTGGAGATGGGGAAGCGGTGGACAAGAACACGACGGCGTGGGCGTTTTTCCGCATCCCCACATCGAACGCGCTCACGCCGAGGGTGAGCCGCGGAACTGGCAGAAGCCTAGCGACGAGCTCGGAGATACCTCACCCCTCCCTCTCTCCTTCCCCCTCCTCCCTCCCCTTCACTCCTCTTCCCTCCCCCCCCCATCCTTCCCTCCCCCCTCTCTCCCCTCCCTCCCCTTCGCCCTCCCCCCCTCCTTCCTTCCCATCCCCCTCCCTCTCCCTCCCTCCCCGCCCCCCTCCCTCCCTCCCCTTCCTGCCACCCTTTCCTCCCGATCCACGGCCCCGCCGCCGCTCCTCCCGTCCTGTGCCCCGCTGCTCCTGCTTGTTGTTTGCGCCTGCTCTGGTCCCCACCGCGTCGTCTTCCTCCTCCTCCTCCTCCTCCTCCTCCTCCTCCTCCTCCTCCTCCGTTCCCTCCTCCGCCCGGCCCCCCCCAAAAACAACAACTCTACACTTACATCCTAATCATACTGCTCCTCCACTCTCTCCCCTTGACCCTGTGCGGAAGATCTCCTGCCTTCTCCGCGCACTGCTTTGGCCAAGCCCACGATCTCATCTGCAAAACGGCTCAATGATAGCTATATGTATACATATATATATATATATATTATATATATATATTATATGTATGCATATTATATATATATATATATATATATATATATATATACATCCGATCGTCTTCGATGTTTCAAAACGGTGCTCCCGCTGCAGCATGGGCCTCATACTCGCATCGACGCTGTGCTCCCCTCGTTGAGCAAAGGCGCTCTCGCCACAGCGCTGGCCACTCTTCTGGATCCGAGTCCTCGTCATCGCTGGGCTCCCCCTCATTTCACCTCCTCCGCCTTCCCCTGGCCCTACTGCTCCTCCCACTCCTTCCGCTCAAGTTCCTGCTGCTGCTGTTCGTCCTCCTCCTCCTCCTCCTCCTCCTCCTCCTCCTCCCCTCCTCCTTTTCCTTCTGCTCATTATCCTGCCCACCCGCCACCTCCTCCTCCTCCTCCTCCTCCTCCTCCTCCTCCTTCATCTCCTCCTCCTCCTCCTTCATCTCCTCCTCCTCCTCCTCGTCGTCGTCCTCCTCCTCCTCCTCCTCCTCTTCCTCCTCCTCCTATGTACGCAGCACCCCTTCTGCGATGGCGCATAGCACGATTGGGGTCTTTTCTTGAGTTCCAGGTTGGCTGTGACACGCGCCCGCGGACAGAGGAAACATCGGCGCCACTGGAAGGGATGGGCGGGAGGGGGCACGTGTGATGTCAGAGGTGGTTCGAGCGCACCTGGCGCCCGCCCGCGCCGTCTCCCCCCCCTCCTCCCTCCCCCCCGAGGATACCCCAGAATCGAATCGATAAGTCGGATCGGCGATCGAAATGGATCGGATCGGCGCGAATCGGAACCCACATCGGAATCCCGAGTCGAACCGGGTCGGAATCGAGGAGGCCCTCGAAGTCGAACCGAGTCGAATCGGGGGACTCGGACCGAGCCCTGCCCCCCCTTCGCGCTGGCGGTCGGGCCTGGGCGCGCCGCGCTCCTTGCTCCTCGCCCGCTGCTGGGCGGGAGCGCGGAGCTCGTGCGACGTCTCCCTCCGGGGCGGGGCAGCGATGTGGCCATCGCTCGGACGTCCATTCCCTATGGTTTTTTTGCTCGGTTTCGTGCGTGGTTTTTTCGCCAAATGGTCAAGGAGGTCCTCGCCGAAGGAAACATGCACACGTCCGAGCGATGCCAAGCCGATGGGGGGGGATGGGCAGCACAGGGGGGGGGATAGGCAGCGACCTGGAATCGGCGATGCGTCGCCGATCGATCGGCGACGGGCGCCCGACGGTGAGCCCGCACCTCCCTTGGGCGGGTTGGGGCTATCGGGCCCCTCTCGGCGATTGCGCACCCCCCTCTGCCTAATCCCCCGCTGTCGTTGCCCCTGCGCGACGTCTCCCTCCGGGAGGTGGGGGGATGCGGGTGCCGAGGCGCGCCCCCGCCCTGCATGAGGGCGCAGCCCTTTGCTTTGGGGGGGGGGGGGGGGGGCTATTTTCAGGTCGGGCATGTCCTCCTGCAGGCAGATTCTTTGACGAACCGTAGAAAAGAGTCAAAAGATACACAAAAATGGCCGAAAATAGTAGAACAAATCGCCCCCACACTGTCTTTTTGGTCTATTTTTGAATATTCCTCCTGTAGAGGGGCACGCCCGATTTAAGTCTATTTTCTGTGCGCGCGTGGTGCTTCGGATTCGTCTCGAGCTGTGGAGCAGCTGCAGAGCTCTCCAAATTGACTCCTCGACCGGGCGTCGTCGAGAGCGTCAGAGTCCACGGTCCCGAGAGACCTGATCTTGGTCTGCTACCTGAGCTGTCATCGAACCACGAGCTAGGAGCCTGGGGTGAGGAAACAAAGATAAAAGAAGCCCCTCTGAGGCCTCGCGTTTCTCTGTTGGCCCATTCGCAAGACGTGAGGACCCGGGAGGCAACACGACGAGGCGCTGAGCGAAGTCGTGAGCATGCCACTGGGCGGGCGAGAGCTGACCGGTCAGCCTGGCGGGAGAGGTGACCTCGACCTTGAACTCGTACGCTGGGGCAGATGATTCTGCAGCGGGGTCTGCACACCTGCTTTGGGACACGGCTGCGCACAGACGCCCGAGGAGCGCTGGGGGGAGGCCCGCGGAAGGACAGCGGGAGATGGCGCCCACCTCGAAGCCAAAGTCGACCCTGCCTTAGATTGCTTTTGCCGCAGGGTCAGGAGCCGCCGCTACATCTGGACACGCAATAGAAATGTGGACGCGCGCACGCGGACATAGACGCATACCTGCATGAGAGGGTCTGCACGCGTGCATGTACATATGTTGAGCCAACACCGCGCATGCGGAGGGCATCGCCATGACCCCACTGTCGCATGCACCATCACGGCTAACACCGCCACCGTCGCCCTCAGCTTGATTGAGGTCCTAACTCCAAGAAGCGATCGCGCATGACGAGAGCTCATCCATCCTTCTCCATCCCTTCCTCCTCGTGCCCCTCTTCCTCCTTCACCCCTTCTGTTCCTGCTCCTGCTCGCCGTCTTCCTCCTCCTCCTCCTCCCCCTCCTCCTCCTCCTCCTCCTCCTCCTCCTCTCCTCCTCCTCTCCTCCTCTCCTCCTCCTCCCCCCCCCTCCCCCTCCTCCCCTCCCCCCCCTCCCCCACCTCCTCCTTCTCTTCTTCCTCTTCTTCTTCTTCCTCCTCCTCCTCCTCCTCCTCCTCCTCCTCCTCCTCCTCCTCCTCCTCTTGCTCGACCATCCAGCTGCTGTTGCTGAAGAATGAAGGATGAGGAAGGAGGCATCAGATGAAGGGCAAGCTGAAGTAGGAGGGAGGGCACGGGAAGGAGGAGACATACGCGGAGAAGCACGCGGATGGGATCTCCTCCCGGATCTTGTTCTTGTTCATCGTGAGCTGCAACCTCAGTCGGTGGATTCTGGTACCCCCTGCCACCGCAACGCAGATGCTCCTCCTCCCTTTCATCATCTTCACCATCATCATCCCAAGTTTCCCAACTTCACACATCGCGCCCCGCGATGCGCGACGGGTGGTCATCGTCGCTCCCCCTCGAACATACAATGGAAACAAGAGGTCTCTGGTCCAGGCTGCGACGCGCGAAGCTAGAACATCTTCGCGCCCCTTGTGATTGTCTAGCTCGTCCTCCTCCTTCTGCTCCTCCTCCTCCTCCTCCTGCTGCTCCTCCTCCTCCTCCTCTTGGATCCTCGCCGAGCCAGCCGTGCCGCTGCAGAAGGAATCGAGCCAAGCGGAGAAGGACACGTGCAGCCGAGGGGAGCACGGCGGGCCGACCCACGCCGAAACGACGCCTGCTGCTCTTGTCGGGTGCGCCGACTAGAGGAGGGGGGAGTGGCAGGAAGAGGGGGGTTCGCGCAGCATGCCCCAATGTACGTGCGCGGACGAAATGGAGGGGGGGAGGCAGGGGACGTTAGGGGCCCCTGAAAGCTGGGAGATTTCATGACCCTGGCCATGATATCCACACAACCCCCTGGTTCTCTCCTCTCTTGGACGCCCCCGAGCTTGCTGCTCTGCAGGATAGTACGCAGAAGGTGTGCAAGAGCCAACGTGTGCTCGTCCACCGAAGCCCTTCAATTCACCGCATGCTGTGAATGGGAAGGAAGGATATGAGAGCCAACCCTACCTATGTTCTGTAGGATGGAGACAACATATGTTCTCCTCTCATCCGTCAACGTGCCTCCGGCACGAAGTGGAATGTCCCAAAGCTCACAGCTGAGCTGCTGCTACTGCTGCTGCAACCAAGTTTGTAGTTTTGTGAAGAAGCGGGTCTCCCGAATTCCAGGCGTTCCTGGGGTCTTCTGGGGTTTCCCCCGTGAGTTCTGGGGTGTTTCCTGCCAGTCCTCTGGACGTTGTGCCTGCCTCAAACGACCTCCCGAACCCTCCTAGGTGTCCAAGAGGGCCCCGCTTCGCTGAAAGATCGCCCCAAGGACGCCCCAAGATGGAAGACGCCGAGACGGCCCAGAAGGCCCCCAAGACCCAAGACAGGGCACGGGGCCTCCAAGACGGCTCCGAAGGGCCCCCAAAACGCCCTAAAAGGGATCCTAGAGGGGGAACCCGAATCGAGATTTCAAGCTCTTCGCCCAGAGACGCCCCCACGAGGTCCAAGAAGGCGGCGAAGCGCGCTGGGCTTTCGCGCCCGCGCGCCGGCATCCCTGCCTGCGCTCGGTTGGACGTAGGGAAGGGGCGGGAGAAGGGAGGTGGGCTGGCGGGTTTCTGCTGGGCGCACCTCCACTCCTGGCCACTTGGCGCCCGCGAGTCATGCTACGGTGCGATTGGCTCAGGGTGCGTTCTGGGAATTCCCCGAGTCGGCCCGTGTCGCAAGCATCTACTGACCCGGGTCGATGCGGACCCGGGTCAGTCGGGCCTTCCAGGATCCTGCAGGATCCTGCAAGATCCTGCAGGATCCTGCACCCAAGCCCGGGTCCATGCGACCCTCGCCCTGCAAGATCATGCCACATCAAGCGCCCTGACTGACTCCCGGTTGCATTGACCCAAGGCCCCCGACCTTCTCATTCGGCCATTCGTCTCCGGCCGCGCGGGGCAACAGGAACATCTGTAGACCTTGGAACGTATCGACATCATCAAAGCTCGCTCCTCTGACCACCTGCCCTCCAAGTGCGCCGAGGAGGGGGACCAGGAAGCTCGCCGTCGCTCGGGCGCCCGTTTCCCATGCATGTTTGGGTCTCGTGCGTGCTTTCTTGTCGCAAGATGATGCAGGATGCTCCTCGATGGCCCTCGCCGAGGGAGGAGGAGGAGGAGGAGGCGGAGGAGGAGGAGGAGGAGGAGGAGGAGGAGGAGGAGGAAACGCGTCCGAGCGATGCCGGGGAGGAGGGGGGGCTGGCGCAGCGTGGGGGCCGAGGCACGTGCCCGGACGAGGAGGGGCAGGCCAGGGAGCGTGCGGGATTTCGGCGGTGTCTTGGTGCTCGTTTTGGCAGGGAGGCACAGGAAAACGGGCAGAGCAAAACGAAGAACAGGAGGACAACAACACGAGGAACAACGTGAAGGTCCAGCCCTGGCGTCCCCCATGGCCGCTTCCCTGGCTGTGCCCCCCCACGGGCTCCCTCTCGTAGGGGGTCGTGGTAGGGGGTCGTCGTAGGGGCCGTGGGGGTCGTCGTAGGGGCCGAGGGGTAAAGTGGAGGCCCATACCAAGAAACACCCTGCTTGCCTCCAGGGTGCCCTGGATTTCTTGGGTTTCGATGGCTTTGCCATGAAGAGCGTGGCGTTCCCACACCGAAACTCAATGGATCTCAGGGTTGGGTTTCTTGTGGAAGGTTTCTTGTGGTCGGGCCCCTACTGTATCAAATCCAGGAGATGTCATGGCCTAGGTCATGATACAGCCAAAATGCTGCCATAAGGAACTCTACCTAAGGAGCGAGGCTTGTTTCCATCAGTCAAATTTCGATTTCCCACTGAAGACCTGCAGGAAACCCAAGACAGACTGCAGACCAATTCGGGAGCAATTGAGGAACACTGAGCCCCTCCCCAACGAACAGGGCTCCTTCTTCAGCGGCCCGACTGTATCCAAAGCCCATGGTCCTCACCGGCCCCCTGGGCGCCCCCCAATTCTGTGACCTCCGCAAGTGCCCTTGCTCTGGCGGAGGAGCTGGCTCGGACGCTCTCGCAGCCACTTGTGAGGCTGCTCGACGGGGCACTCGCGCCATCCTCCGTGCCGCCGCCACCAGCGGCGTCTTTTGCCTGCTTTTCTTCTCCTGGCTGCACCGTGCCTCAGGGCGCCAGTCGGCGGCGACAACAAGGGCGAATAGCCCAGGGGCGGGCATCACACGTATTCGCCCGGGAGCCCTGTCGAGGACCTGGAGCACCGGCGCCCCTGGATACATGCACTGCCCTCCCCTGGGCCCTTCGCCCCCGTCGCCGCCCCTGAACCAGGCCTGCGGCCGTTGCTCCCGGGGGGAGGGAGGGAGGAGGAGGAGGAGGAGGAGGAGGAGGAGGAGGAGGAGGAGGAGGAGGAGGAGGAGGAGGAGGAGGAGGAGGAGGAGGAGCGACGAGCCGAGACGCGGCCCAGCTGCCACGCGCCACGCCTCCAGGCCGTGCATCGGCGTGGTCCGACTCCGCGGCGGCGGCCCCGGCCCGCACACTGATGCAGTCGAGCGTCGGGCCCCCTCCTCCTCCTCCTCTCTCCTCCTCCTCCTCCTCCTCCTCCTCCTCCTCCTCCTCCTCCTCCTCCTCCTCCAGGCTGTCGCGGCAGTCAGCACCGGCATGGTGGGCTGCGCTCGAAGCGGGGCCGAAACGAACGACTCCATGTGGGCCAGCTGCCATAGGGGTTTCCCCGGTGTGCGAGAGGCGGCACGTGGCTCCGCCACGCCACGACGTGGTGGGTGAGCGCCCTGCCTGCGATGTGGCCTCCGCCCGTCCGCGGAGTCAGGCTTCTGCACCGCCGTAGTTGCTCGTCCGTCTGCGGAGCCCATCGCCGTGTCGTGGCGTCCAGCAGCGGTCGACGTTGGCCTCCTCTGGGGCGGCTTCTGGTCGTGCTTCTCTGGCTCTCGAATGCCAGATCGTGCGATGCTTTCCGGGTCTGACTCATGGGGAATCGGCTTGGCCCGTCTGCCATTTGCCTGATATCCTTGGATTATTCGGGGTGGGGGCTCCTGTCTGCCGTCTGCGTGGTCTCCTTGGCCTTCTCCTGGGACTTTTCCACTCGAAGTGTGCAGCGGTGGCGCACGTGGCCAGTCCAGAGGCGCTACCCGGCGTAGAGCCATTCTGCTAAACAAAAGGGAGCACGCGTTATCATTGAGCCGCTCGCCGTAGTGAAAGCCTTCACCCTCTCCCTCGCCCACCTCTCTCCTGATCTCCCCTCTTCCATCCTCCTTCCTCCCTCCTCTCTCTCCTGCCCCTTTCCCTCCTCCCTAATTCTTCTCGTCCTCCACTTCCTCTCGCCCTCGTCCTTCCTCCTTCTCTTCCTCCCTTCTCCTCCCCCTTCCCGCCCACCCTCCTTCTTCTCTGTTCCACGCAGCCACGACGCCCAGGGCGCCGGCTTCGGTGGCGACGATTCCATGTCCACGTTCGACACCCACACCCTGGGCGGAGGATGAATGCCGGGGCAGGAGGACGAACATCATGTACGAGGGTGACGGGGAGAGGGATCATGCTTGCGCTGGTGACTGACGGTGAGGGTGGTGAGGATGAACTTATGGATAGGAAGAATCGGCAGTCCGCGACGGGCGGGACCAAGGGCGCGCTGCCGGCTGCAGCTTCCCGAGGAGGCGGAGTGAGGACCCAGGACAGGAGGAGGAGAAAGATTTCATTATATACGCCGACATCTGGGATGAAAGCTCTGCCTAGATGTGCGGCTCTGCCTAGATGTGCGGCTGGAGGCTTGACCAACAGGACTCTGGTGGCTATACCACCATTCCTGAGGAAATCCCGTCGCACAGGAAGCTATGTCCCCGTTGCTCGCAAGGCGCGTGCGCAGGCAGGTGCTCGAGCGGCGCAGCTGGCTGCACGGGGGAGGGAGGGGAGACGCTACATATCTAGATCGATTTCAAGTCCTAGTTCTGCTGCGGCCGCCCCGTCAGCCTCGAAATCATGCACTGGGATTCTCGTATCCTACTCGGCTCGGCGGTGCAACCTCCCGATCGCCTGGAGAGTCCTGGGGAGCGGCTGACTGACGGGCGCAGATAGTTACTGTCGGCTACACGTAAGAGCGACCCTGGGTAAGAGTGACCTTGGGTGCGCGGCTTTTTGGGGGGCCGCGGGGGGACCCAATAAAAGCGCGCAATACGCTACTGTCGCACCGCACTCGGCGATCGGGGGGGCCCAGCGGCTTTTGGGGGGCCGCGGGGGGGCCAATAAAAGCGCGCAGTACGCTACTGTCGCACCGCACTCGGCGATCGGGGGGGCCCAGGTGGGCGCGCACTTGTTCGGTTTCGTGTGTAGTTAATTCGCCAAATGATCAAGGATGCTCCTCGATGGTCCTCGCCGAAGGAAAAATGTACACGTCCGAGCGATGCCAAGCCAAAGGTCACTCCGGCGAAAGGTCTCTCGTGCGCGCAGCCGATGCCGGCTCAGGTGGGCGATGGCCCCTGGTCCAGCCGTGGCGGCGAGCCGGAGCGGGCGAGGCGAACTGGGAGGGCGAGGCCACGCGCGGCAAGCTCCGCGCGACGGAGGCCCGGCGGGCCCTCGGGTCAGCCAGGGCACCCAACTTCGCGCTGCGCGAAACGCACGAGGTGCGAATCACTTCGCGCTCTCGCGCCGCCTCCCAGGGGGAGAAGAAGACTCGCCATCGCTCGGACGTCCATTCCCTGTGTTTTTTTCGGTTTCGTGCGTGGCTTTTTTCGCCCAGAATGGTCAAGGATGCTCCTCGATGGCCCTCGCCGAAGGAAAACTGCACACGTCCGAGCGATGCCAAGAAGAGGATGAGGAGACGTCGGAGCCGCAAAGCGCAAAGCGCGATTCACTTCGCGCCCTCCGAGGGCGCCCCTTGGGTCCGCACGGCGGGGCCCCGACGCCGCCTCGATCTGGCCGCCGCCCGAGCGCCCCGATCTCCGCGCGGGCGGCTCCTCCTCGAGAGCCACACCGCGGGCGTCGCCCCCCGTGCGGCCGGCGGCGGGCCCCTCGCCGCGCCACGCAGCGAGGACGTGGCGGGCGCCGACCCCACTCCTGTGAGGCACCGAACTTTTCGGCGGTGGACAAACCTCCCTTTAGTACCCCCCCCCCTTAGTGAACACGACCTGGACCGAAACCGACGGAGCTGGACCCGCAAAAATGACGGCCGCGACGCCCTATCGCGAACCGAGAAGACGGCCAATTCCTGAATCGACGTGTCAGGGTAGGAGGTCTATCCGCCTCCGAACTTTATGCGCCGATGCTATGTTCCGGTCACGCACTGAGAGTCGCACAAGGAAGCGGGTTCTGGTGTGTACGGCATCCTGGCGTATACACTGTTCGTTGTGTCCACGGCGAAGACGGGGAAACAAGTATACACCACACCGCCCCAGCGTCGCCCCCGACCCTCAAAAAGTCCGGGGATTGAACAACAGCCCGCCGCTGGTAATGTATACGTTCCAGTTCCCGATCTTGTTCATGGCGAGCAGGATCTTGACGTGCTTGGTCTCGTGGCCCCCCTCGAGCCGAACGGAGGTGACCGCGTCCTCGGTGTCTGCATTCGTGATCGTGCTGCCGTCCTCTGGCGGGCCGTTGGCCCGCTCCCTCCCGGCCTTCAGGCTCCTCTTGTGTATGGGCTTAGAATACAAAGTGATCCGTAGGTAGAGGAAGGAAGGAAATATAGGGATCTTTTCCTCCTGTGCGACCAGCGTCCTGGTCTCTTCCAATACCTGAGCCGATAAGGCAGGCAAAAGGGCGAGTGAGGAGTAGAGATGAGGGTATGAGACGGGTTCCTTTCACACTTCTTGCACGCGCCTCCCATGTCCCATGTGGCGAGCGCCTCGACCGTGGCCAGCGTGAGCGGGGCAGTCGGCGACCCGAGAGCCTCGAGCGTGAGCCGCTGCGCCTCGTCGCCATCCGCGCCGCGCCTGGGCCTCCCGCCCGAAGAGCTCCGGCTCGTCCGAGATGGCCCCGACCAGCGGGTGAGTGGTCGTCAGGGTGGCCGTGCCCACGGTGGTCGCGAGGGCGGGGCGGGCGCGGTGGCTCGCCTGCAGTACGAACCCGCCCATCACGGTGAGCATCTGCTGCAGATTCCTGTCCCTGCTGGTCCACGTCTTCTCCGTGGGAGCTCCGCGTCGATGGCGTCGACCTCCGCGCGGGCGGCGCTGAGGTGCCGATCCCGCTCCTCCTGGGGGCCCGGGCCTCTCCTGAGCTGCTGGCGCCGCCGCCGCCGAGCTCTGTGCTGCAGGGGCGGGCTCCTTGTGCGGCGGCGCGTCGGGCGAGTCCTTCTCTCCACCATTCGGCAAGGGGGGCGATGCGCCCCCCTGGTCTCCATGCTGCGCGACGAGGGCCTCCTTTCTTCACGATGTCCTGAGATCCCTCGGCTCCCGTCGCCGCCGCTGCTGCTCCCTCCCCTGGCAGCGGTGCTCCGCGCAGGTTTCGGGGTGATTCCGTCCTTGCGGCTGCGGCGCGGCGGCCGCGGGCGAGGGGAGTGACGAGCGGGGAGCCGACAGCTCACCAGCTTTTTCGCTGGTGATGTTGTACTGGCCGTTGGCAGTGTCGGGCTCTTCTTGGCTGAGCAGCGGGGGCAGCACGAGGTAGGAGAAGACGATGAGACGCGTGTCGAAGAGCACGCCTGGCCTCCGAGGTGTCCGCGAAGGTGGTGGGGCCGCATGCTGCCGCGGCGGGCGCGGCGCTCCTCGCGACCTGGGTGACGGTGCGGTCGGTACAAGAAGCTTAGTCCAGCTTGAGCGAGGAGGACGAGGAGGAGGATGAAGAGGAGGGGGAGGAGGAGATGTAGGAGGAGGAGGATGAGGAGGAGGAGGAGGAGGAGGAAGAGGAGGAGGAAGATGAGGAGGAGGAGGAGGAGGAGGAGGAGAAGGAGGAGGAGATGGAGGAGGAGGAGGAGGAGGAGGAGGAGGAGGAGGAGAGGAGGAGGAGAAGGAGGAGGAGGAGGAGGAGGATCCTACATCTACCCCCCCCGAGCTCACCGATCGGCCCGCGGGTGTGACGCGGAACGAGCAACTCCAGCGGAGAAGCAACCGGGCTTCGACCGCGGGCGGGCGGCAGATTCCGTGCGCACACGGGGCCGAACAACCCTCCCCCCCAAGAGAACATCTTGAGCTGCCGTGTCCACGGGACGAGGAGAGGAGAAAACGGAGGAAGAGAGGGATGAGGGGGAGAGGGAGGAGGAAGAGGAGGAGGCGGAGGAGGAGGAGGAGGAGGAGGAGGAGGAGGAGACGGAGGGAGGAGGAGGAGGAGGAGGAGGAGGAGGAGGGGATGAGGGGGAGAGGGAGGAGGAGGAAGAGGAGGAGGAGGCGGAGGAGGAGGAGGCCGGGAGGGGGAGGAGGAGGGGGACGAGGAGGAGGGGGAGGAGGAGAAGGCGAAGGAGGAGGGCGGCACCCCGATGGCGGCGCCCCGGATGGCCCGATGATGATGATGATGATGATGATGATGATGATGATGATGATGATGATGATGATGATGATGATGATGATGATGATGATGATGATGCTGCTGCTGCTGCTGCTGCTGATGATGATGATGATGATGATGATGATGATGATGATGATGATGATGATGATGCTGGTAGATGGCGGATCTGGACGGGAAGGGAGGTTATCGGCTCTAAGCTACCACCGCCGTGCCAAGCAGCTCGCTTGAACGTAAGGTGCGTCATTGGGATTGCGCTGCGCGCTGGTCTTCGCCATTCTGAGTTCCAACCGCTCCTGGCCCTCTTCTGACAGAATGTGCAGGGACACCGGATCAGGAACGCCGAATGCCGCTGGCCCACCTCTGCCTCCAACGCTGCAATGGGGGACTTCTCACGGCTTTTAAGAATCTGACCGTCGCTCGGACGCCCATTCCCCGGGCATGTGCCGGTTTCGTTTTTTTTTGTTTTGTTTTATTTGTTCGCAAGATGATCCAGGATGCTCCTCGATGGTCCTCGCCGAAGGATCACACGTCCGAGCGATGCCAGGGAATTAGTAGTTACCACCCTTCGGTCCTGACTCGCTCCAACACCTCCGCCATCCACCTCCGCCTCCTCGTCCGCGCACGGCGCAAGACAGGTGGACATGGGAATCAGGGAAAAAACATTCGGTTCGGGCAGAATGCCGCTTCTGCTTAACTCTGGGCGGCGACCCTCTGAGGCCTCATCCTACATCAACTGCTTGTGTGCCCACGATGCGCTTCCTGTGTTTTTTTTTGCGTGGTGATGGTGTCGGTCATGCTGGTTTTCGCTTGCTGCTGGACGTGCTGCAACAGCTTCTGCTGTTCGGTGATCTCCTGCTCCTTCTCAACCACCCTCTGCTCCAGCTGGACGTGACATTCCGTGTTGGTGCAGCTGCAATTGTATCTTCACGGCGTGCTGGACGAACTCCCAGTTCGGCTTCGACCGTTGCTTCTCCATGGCCCCTCGCTGCTCCCTCTGGATCTGCTTGCGCTGGCCCTGCAACACGTTCTCGAACTGCAACTGCTTCGCGGACCTGCTTCTTGGGCTTCGTGGTCTTCTGGGCTTCCACTGCCTTGGGATCATCGCCGCGCAGCTGATCGCAATCTCGGGCGTTGCCCTGCAATATCTGGGCACCAGGGTAGCCTTCCACTGGAAAAGCCTGCATCTCGCAGGAGCTCTTTGTCACGGGTCACCGCAGGCTTGCCCTGCAAGCCTGCACTCTCATTAAGCGGCAGCGAGCACCATGTCCGACTGGTGCAGGTGCCAGCCACCAGAGCACAGCACTCCTCTGGCTCCCTGCCGTGCGGCTGCACGAGCAGCCAGCCCCTGAGCGGATTCACGCGATGCGGCGGCCTCGATGGCGCACGTGGCCTTCGAGGTGAAAGAGTGCCAGAAACCGTCATCTGCAGCTCCTTCCAGCGTGAAGCAAGTATCTGCTCCAGCTGCACCGACGCGCAAGGCGAGGTAGCGACGCCGTTGCTCCTGCCAAGCGGCCTGCCGAGACCCTGTAGCAGGAAGGCAGTCAGGCCGTGTTTCAAAACTTCGGAAATATCGAGCGAAGCATGACAACGCTTTATTGGGGGTTGGACTCCGGCTCATCGAGTGCATGCCATACTGGAGAAGGCAAAGGGGACGGAGGAGGGAGGGATGGGAGGGGAGGGATGGGGACGAGGAGGACGAAGCAGGAGGAGGATGAGATCTTTTGCGGGCTGCGTAGCGGGCTTCAGACTGCCGAGCGCCGGACAGGAGCGGTGAAGGCAGGCTGAGGTCCAGCGGCGAGGATGCGAGGTGTGTAAAAGAGGCAGCGGCCTGAAGTTACGTTCTCGGAGGATGGCCAGTTGAGCCAGCGGCGCTGGTCCCGCGTGGCCCAGTCAGATCCGCTGAAGATCAGTCCCTGGGCCCCTCCCGAGAGGCGTCCCTGCCCCAAGAGGACACGGCGTTCATGTCTGATCGTGCTCATTTCTCACTGTGCTCGTTTCCGATTGTTCCTGACCCCCTGGTGGCCAGGAAGAGGCCCAGGATAGAATAATTAGAAGTGAAGGATCTTGCCCCCCCAAAAAAGTCAAAGACCTCTCGCCTTCCCAGGCTGTCGGCGCCGCCTCTGGCCTCTCCTCCGCGGCGCGGCCCGCCGCTTGCTGCGCGGTGGCTTCGGGCGCGCCGAGGGCAAACGGACGGCCCCGCCGCGCTCTGCACCGCTCCCGCGGCGGGAGAAGGCCAGCGGCGCCGGTGCAGAGCGGGCAGGGCCCCCGCTCGCCCAGAAGACACGGGAGAAGGGTTTTGGACCCCGGGGGCCGAAAAACGACGCGACGCGGCGACGAGCGACGGACGACAACGAACGACAGGGGGGAAGACGGACCGCCGATCCCGCTCCAAGGCGGCGAGTGCGGGGAGTGAGCTCCCGCACCGCCCTAGGGGAGGACACGGGACCTGGCGGCCCCTCGGGAAGGAACGCCCGGGCGCGGGGGCTTGGACCCCGAAGGCCCGGTGCTTCCCGCCTGCGCCAGGGGGCGCTTTGGACAGACACCCCGCTTATGGGGGTGCCCCTTTTTCGGGGCGGGGCATGATGATGATGCTGATGCTGATGATGATAATGGTGATGGTGAGGACGACAATGACGATGCTGATGCTGATGACGATTATTATGCTGATGCGTATGAGGTGCTGATGCTGCTGAGGATGATGATAATGACAATGATGATGATGACGATCATGCTGGTGAGGATGATGATGATTTGATGATGCCGATGCTGGCGACGATGATGATCATGATGATCATGATGATGACGATGGTGGTGATGACGTTGGTGGTGACGTTGGTGGTGATGATCATGATGCTGCTTAGGATGATGACCGCGGCACCGATGACGATGGCGATGACGAAAACGATGATGATGATGCTGATGGTGATGATGATTATGATGATGATGCTGCCTGTGGTGATGGTGATGATGAGTGCCGTGATGATGCTGATGATGGTATTGGCGATGGTGAGGATGGTGATGATGTTGCTGATGATAATGCTGCTGCTGATGACGATGTGGATGATGCTGATGATGACGATGATGCTGCTGCTGATGATGATGCTATCGACGCTGATGATATTGATGTTGCGGAAGGTAATGATGGTGAGGAGGAGGAGGAGGAGGAGGAAGAGGAGAAGAAGGAGGAGGAGGCGGAGGGGCGCGTTTGACTGAGGACGCCGACGAGAGTCTCCCCCCCTTTCACAACTAACCTGCCTCAATTCCCACCTCCCCTCCCCTGAACCTCTGCCTCCACTTCCTCCTCCCCATCCTCCTCACCCTCCTCCTCCTCATGCAGCTCCTCCCCCTGCTCGTCTTACTTCTCCTTTTATTTCGTCGTGGTCAGCGTCCTCGTCCTCAGGGTCGGCGGCACTGGCCGTAATGCCTTCGCAATACTAAGGGAAATCTCGAACGAAACGCCCGACCCGCCCTTCCGACTGGCCTCGGGGTGCGACAGGGAGGACTTATTCATGAGGAGAACGAAGGAGGAGGATGAGAGAGAGGAGGGAGGAGGAGGAGGAGGCGGAGGAGGAGGAGGAGGAGGGGGAGGAGGAGGGGGAGGAGGAGGACGAGGAGGAGGACGAGTAGGGGGACGAGGACCAGGAGGACGAAGATGATGCTCCCCCCTTCCTTTCCTCGCTCGCTCACGCCAGGGGGCGGAACGCCCGCGGGGGCGCTGGGGAGGGGGGGCGGTCGCGCGTGACAGACTGGCCGATCTTGACCACGTCCTCCACGTTCTCGACCTGCGGCGGGAGCCAACGGAACTGTCGCCCAAGGGAACATCGGGGGCGTCCAAGAGGGGGCGACCAAGGGAGGGGTTCGCAAACTCTGGCCCGAGGCACGTGCGCGGCCCAGGGGGAGGGCCCAGGGACGTACTGAAAGAATCAGAGGGGCCATGCCATCCAGGCAGGTATCATGGCCCTCGCTGTGATATCCCCCCCTCCCTAGTCTTAGGTCGGGCGTGTCCTCCTGGAGGTCGGTTTTGGACGAGAAATAAGCAGTACCCAAACGATGCTCAAACATAGTCAAAACATAATGGAAAAATCGTCCCCAGATCATGTTTTACCCATTTCGAATATTCCTCCTGTAGGGGGACACGCCCGATGTAACCTTACTCCGAGTTTCTTAATAAGCGTCGGGGGGGCGTCACCCCCGCCGACAGCCCCACATCGACCCCAGTCGCGGGCAGCCACCGCGCGCCGAAGGCGCTCCGACCCCCATCGCGGCGCGACGACGAGGCGAGGTTGACCCCCGTCGGGGGGTTACCCCCCGAGTAGTCATCACCCCACTCGTGGACGCCCCCGAGGAGGGGAGCCGGAGCAGCAGCACCAGCAGCAGCAGCACCAGCAGCAGCAGCAGCAGGAGCAGCTGCCCTGCAGCAGCAGCAGGGGCTGGAGGGCCCAGAATCGATGTCGAAATCAATCGGAATCCGATGTCGAATCGAATCGGAATCCGATGTCGAAATCCATCGGAATCCGATGTCGAATCGAATCGGAATCGGAATCCACCGAGATCGAACCGCATCGGAGGAAGCGAGAGGAGCCCTGCAGGGGCAGCAGGAGGTGCAGGCCGAGGAGCAGGTGGACGCCCGGCAGCAGGAGCCCGCGGCATGAGGAGGGGGAGGAGGAGGGGGAGGAGGAGGAGGAGGGGGAGGAGGAGGAGGAGGAGGGGGAGGAGGAGGAGGGGGAGGAGGAGGAGGGGAGGAGGAGGAGGAGGCGGAGGAGGAGGAGGAGGAGGAGGAGGAGGAGGAGGAGGAGGAGGAGGAGGAGGAGGGGGAGAAGGAGGAGGGGGAGGAGGAGGAGGAGGAGGAGGAGGAGGAGGAGGAGGAGGAGGAGGAGGAGGAGGAGGAGGAGCAGGAGGCGTGAACGGCGAACATACCCGGATGTCCGCGCCCGCGCGGTCTGGATTCCGGGGGCGCGGTCCCGCGGATGCGCGGTCGCACGGATGCCTTCCGCGCGAGGCAGCCGCGGAGCAGGGCGCAGCATCCGCGGGGTCTCGGCCCCTCGAGGCCGCGGACACGGACGTGTTTGTGCCAGCCACGAGGGAGGAGCAGGAGCGGGAGGACGAGCCAGAGGTGGAGCAACAATGGTAGGGCTGGGGCCTGCCTCCGCAGATGCGAGGCCGCGGACACGGATGTGTTTTTGCCAGCCACGATGGAGGAGCAGGAGCGGGAGGACGAGCCAAAGATGGAACAACAGTGGTAGGGCTGGGGCCTGCCTCCGCAGATGCAGTTCCGGGAAAGAAGTGCGCGTCATTCAAAGCTCAGCGGTGCCAAGGGCACCGCGGATCGGCCTCACCCCAACAGAACAAGCGGCGAAAACGCTAACAGGCTCGACATGCAGATGTGGAGGAATCATAAGATGGAATCGTGAACACGCTGCCCCACAGCACCCAGACCCAGTGTTGTAGATCATCGCGCACTGGTGTTACCGAAGCCCTTCGGCGTAGCAGGATCAGGATGAGCAGGGCGAGGACGACGATACTGAGAAGCATTTTCGGTGCTAGTTCCACCCAGCCTCGGGGCGTAGGTGATTGAGCGAGTTCGTTGTCCAACCTCCTTCTTCCCCTTCTGGGAAGGTTTTGCCCCTCCCCCCTCCCGTGGATCTAGAAGGGGGTGGGCACGACGCGCTGAAGCGTCCAAGATGGCTTAAGATGGCCTCTAACATCGCACATCATAGCCCAATATGGTTCAAGATAGCCTCCGAGATGCTCCCCAAAGGCCCCAAGGCCGCCCCAAGACGGCCCCACGTGGCCACGGAGCCTCCCAAAGACACCCCCCGATAGGCCCGAGTCTTTCCAACAAGCTTCGGGGAACTTTTGATTGTGGTATTCTCGCCTTTTTGCTTCCGATTGGCTTCCGAGGCCTCAGGACGGCTCCAAGATCGCCCAACCGAGCCCGAAGAATGTTCCAGAACTGCCCAATGAGCGACCCGAGAGGGCCCCAGCAGGCAATTTCGAGGGATTCGACAGGGGCGGGGGGGCGATTAGGAAACGCACCACTGATTGTGGTATCTCGGGGCATCCTTAGGATGCGCGCGGACCCTGGCTCCACTATGGCCTCATATAGCTCAAGATGGCCTCCAGTATGGCTCAATGTGTCCTCGTCTGTTCACTGGATGCTTCTACACTTCCCTGGTCAGGGCAATTCGCCGGTCGACCGTTTCTGGATGGGCTCGTGGGGGTATGTGAAGCGTATGGAGCAGGAACAACATGATGAACACGAGGAGGCATTAACTGACTGACGCCCAGAGGACTGCCCTAATATGACAGTCTGGACCTGGCTAGGGCGGAAGACGACGAGTGAGCAAGAGGAGCGGCACTGGGCGCCTTCGTCGGGCCGTGATGAGTAATGAACGAGGAGGATAAAACGAACGACGAGAACGGGGGAGCAAGGGGAAACGACATGGAATGATGGGGTGGGAGGATGGGGGTACAATCGAAACCTGCCCACTAGAACGCGTGTCAAGACAATAGCCCCTTCACCGAAGGTCTAATGCCCACCAATGGGGATAGCCCAAACGAACAACATTCCAAGGTGGATAGCCCAAACGCGAAGAACGTAAGAGGGCGCCTAGCCTTCCCAAGCCAGGGTTGGTCCTAACCGAGGAGAACAGAGCCAACGCAATGCACCAATAGGGCCGCCCTTCTGGTTATAACGAATTCTGGAGAAAGAGAGAGAGAGAGAGCGAGAGAGAGAGAGAGAGAGAATGGGTGCAACCTTCGGCTTGCGATTGGAATCGTATCGGATTTGCGATATATGAATATATGGCTTATGATCTCCCATCATCCACCCCGTACTATCTATTATTCGATTCGCTACGAACATATCGATCGGTCTCTCTACCTCTCGGTCTGACCAACTCTCTACCGATCGACCTCACAACCTATCCACCACATTGCCCCCTGGCATGTTTAGACGTGGTCGAGTGCCAAGTTCTGCTTCGAGAAACATGTATGTAATCTTCTGAGGGCCCCCCCCTCCTCCTCGCATCCATCTGCGTTCATCGCCCCCCTCTTCCGAGGCCCCTCTGAGGTGCCTGACGCCTCCCTGGTGCTTTCCGACGCGCCCGAGATGCCCAGCGCGGCTTCCAAGACGGACCTGGCAGGCCACCAAGGCCGCCAAGACAACCCACGACGCCTTCAGGACAGCACAAGAAGTCCCCGAGGTGGTCCACGATGGCCTCACGGTGGCCCAATGTGGCACCAAGAGCGCCCAAGGTGGCCACAAGAGAATCTCCAACAGGATCCGAAGAAACAGGTATCATTGATTTTCTTCGGTATTGCACCGATGCTCGCAATGACATGTTTTCGGGTTTCCGCTCGATCAAGACGGCCGACGACACTCCTCCAAAACGGTCCCAGAGCGGCCCGAGAGACCGGCAAGCAGAGCCCCAAGACGGCCCAATCTCTTTCTTGACCTCCGCGGCTTAACCACATCAGCCAAACAGGCGAGTCCTTACAGCATCTGTGGGAAATGATGTACTGCAGGTCCGTGCCGTGTCAACCCTGGCGTTGGTTCCTGACACCGCGCTGGATCGTTCAACCTTGAACGATCGGCCGCTGCCGCAACGTCCAATCGTTCAACATCGACCGATTCTGGGCCGCTGGCGGCGTTCAACCTTGAACGCCCGCGCTGGGGTCGCCGCGGGTCGACACGACGCAAACCTACCGTAAGCAGAATGCACCGAGCAGCAGGTGCAAACAATTGGGCGACCTCGCCTCGGCGAGCGCTGCTTCGGGGAGGGGGCTTCGCGAGCTCCTTGCGGCGCGCCCACTATGGCCCCCTCCCCTCACGGGTCGACCTTCGCCTCGGACGCCAACAACAGGGCATCCGTCGGCTGCACAAGACATAAGCCACTGTTGCATGTGTTGAAAGCCCCTCTCTGGCCTGCATCGACCAAGTGACTGTGCAGAACCAGGAGAGGGCCCAAGGGTGGGAGGCGACGGGATGCACAGGTCGGGGAGGACAGAAGCTGACCGCCCCCGTGTCCCGGCGCTCCCAAGACGGCCCAAGAGGCCTCCAAGACGGCCGAAAAGGCCTCCGCCGGAGAGACCCAAGACGGGAATCGATGGCCCTTAAGACGGCCGGCGCAAAGACGGCCCTAATACACCCCCAATGCGGCCAAGAGGGCACCAACACGGCGAAAGGGAGCCCCAAGACTCAAGATGGCCCCAAGACGGCCCCAATGAGATCTCCCAGACTGCTCCACAAGAGCCCAACCAAGAGAGTCCCAAGACGGCCCAAGCGGGCTCCATGAGAGCACCTCAAGACATAAAGACTAAAGATGTCCCATGTCGCTGCCTTCTTCTTAACCTCCCCCTCGTCATCATCATCATCATATGATTTTTCCTGATCACCTTCATCATGGCCCTCCCAAGCCTGGGAAAAGGAGGTGCCACACGTGACGGCCTCCTGTGGCCCTCGAACAATCGCCATAAAAAATTGATAGATCGGTCTCACTATCTAAAGACGGGTCTATACAACCACGGGCAACCACGCGACAACCACAAAACAACCACGGGACAACCAACAACCACGGGACAACCACGAGACATCTGCGGGACAACCGTGGGAAAACAACGGGAAACCGTTCGACAAACCACGGGACAACCATGTGATTATTACCAACCGGCATCAATATCGATATAGCTACAGGTCCCACATACGTCGATCTCATCATCACCACGTCTTTCACGCATGTCACGGTGCCATTACCTACCTACACGTTTCAATAAACACGTA